AGTATAAGTTAAAAAGAGTGCAACAACAAAAATGACTAGTTTCAAGGAGAAACAGAACCTTTAGTTCTCAGCGATGTGGGCTGGCAATTCTGATTCTCTGACACATAAAAAAAGATCTATCATTTTATATCTACTCATGTACCCATGAACTAAAATTGCGTGCAAGATTCTCTGATAAACATTTCTTTTGGCCCCATTTTTTATACACTACATCCTCAGTGATGTGATAGAAAAAATAAAGAGAAGAAAAATATAAAGTTATATCAAGAAAGAAACTATTTCTTTCTTAATTTCACTAAATATACAAGGTGCTTATTTATAGGCTGTATAAGAGAATATTTTATGATATAAAATCAATTAACTTAATTATATTAATCAATTATAATGTGAACTCAATCAATATAATTATAATATGAATATTTTGTAATATCCTCTCAAACTTAAGGTGGTAATGAGAAGACTAGTTTGAGTTTGAAAAGAAAAGTGTAGAAGCATCTAGGAAAGTGAGCTTTTGGTGAAAAGATTTGCATATTGAATATGCAAATCGGTGCAGTCGATGCAATTGGAGGAGAAGGAGGCAATATCAAATCTAAGTAACAGTAATGTCAAAAGTTCAATTGCGAGAAATGAAGAGCAAAATCAACAGCAATTGGATGCAAGAAGGCTGGACCAACACTGGCCTTGGGAATAACACATATTGTCGACGTAACAAAGGAACAAGATCAAGAAAACCCAATTGCAAATAAGTCTAAGAAAGAAAGCAAAGATGATGATGATCGACACCACCTATAAGCAAAGCAGTAACTTATAAAGGAGATGAACTGTAATAGTAAAAAAAAAAAAAAGCCTTAAGACTCTGATACCATGATAGAAAAACTAAAGAACCTTTAGTTCTCAGCAATGTGGGCTGGGCTGGCAATTCTGATTCTCCAACACATAAAAAGATCTATCATTTTATATCTACTCATGTACCCATGAACTAAAATTGCATGCAAGATTCTCTGATAAACATTTCTTTTGGGTCATTTTTTACACACTACATCCTCAGTAATGTGATAGAAAAAATAAAGAGAAGAAAAATATAAAGATATATAAAGAAAGAAACTCTTTCTTCTTTAATTTCACTAAATATACAAGGTATTTATTTATAGGCTATACAAAAGAATATTCTGTGATACAAAATCAATTAACTTAATTATATCAATAAATTATAATGTGAACTCAATCAACATAATTATAATATGAATATTATGTAACATTCCCTCAAAGTCAAGGTGGTAACTCAAGGTGGTAATGAAAAGACCAATTTGAGTTTGGAAAGAAGAGTGTGAAAGCATCCAAGAAAGTGAGTTTTTGGTGAAAAGATCTGCATACTGAATATGCAAATCGGTGCAATCGACGCCACTAGAGGAGAAGGAGGCAATATCAAATCTGGGTAACAGTAATGTTAAAAGTTTAATTGCGAGAAATGAAGAGCAAAATCAGCAGCAATTGGATGCGAGAAGGTTAGAGCAACCTTGGCTGTGGGAGTAACATATATTGCTGGCGCAACAAAGGAACAGGATCAAGAAAACCCAATTGCAAATAAGTCCTAGAAAGAAAGCAAAGATGATGATAATCGGCACCACCTACAAACAAAGCAACAACTCACAAAGGAGATGAATAGTAATAATAAAAATAAAAAGTCTCAAGACTCTAATACTATGATAGAAAAACTAAAGAACCTTTAGTTCTCAGCAATGTGGGCTGACAATTCTGATTCTCTAACACATAAAAAGATCTATCATT